CATGTATAGTATAAAATAGTTTGCATACATGTTAGTCACTAAAAAATAAAAAAATAATAAAGAAAGTTTAAAAAAATTTAATAATTTGAAACGGAATATTTTATATGAGATATTTNCAGAGATATATATTTAATAAATAATAAATAATTATATTAAAACATTTCATTTTTTATTCGTTAAAATTACAGTTTATCATTTTTGTTATATTGGCGATAAACAGTGGACTATCGACAGACAACAGTGCATTATTTGAAACGCAGTGTACAAAACCTGTTGATAGATCCGGGAGGGAATAAATGGATAGTGTTGCGGCGTGGAGATGCGCAGTAGCGCTTCGATTAGTTCGGAGAGCGGACCGTTCTCTCTTGGGACAGACTATAGTATACATATTTTATATGGATAAATGTATGATAATAATTAACATGACTAAAAATTAAAAACAACTGCACTACCTTTTTTCGACAAAACCGAAATTACTAAGGAACTTCAAACAAATCTATAAAAAAAAACTCATAGGGGAAAATTATATCTTCACCCCCCCCCTCCCTTGATCACTCGCCTATAAGTTACTAAAAACTATTGTATATTATAATTTCTGATGATAATCAAGTTTTTGATTTAAAAGTTACTTTAATTTTTTATGAAATTTATTATATTAGTAACAAAATAAGATATCAATAAAATTAAATTTTACTATCCTGTGTTCAATTTTTAGATCCCTGCCTCCTCATAGGTTGCCATTGTTTATCATATATACTTATATTTTCTTAATACTAAATAGATAAGTAATAATAATAACATATAAATATATTTTTATAATTATATACTTATATCAATCTAGAAATTATTTTAAATCTGTGAATCTGGTGTATTGTTGTATTCTATCTGGTGCTTTAAAAAATACTATACTTTACTATATTTAAAACAACTATTTTTTTTTGGATGGTGGGAAGTGTAATCCCTTTACCTCTTATAAATATATACTGGCTAACTCTACTATTCTCTAGTGCAGTGGTTCTTAACCTTTTTCGAATGATGGAACACTTAACATTTTATGCGGTTTTCGCGGAACACAGCCGTAAAATTAAACAGTATTTATATACATTTTTGAATTTTTTAGTATATTTAATAATGCATGTATAGTATAAAATAGTTTGCATACATGTTAGTCACTAAAAAATAACAAAATAATAAAGAAAGTTTAAAAAAATTTAATAATTTGAAACTGAATATTTTATATGAGATATTTGAGCCTGATGATTTTTACAGATATTTTCAATATCCAATCATATGTAGAATATTGCTACTCTCATTTCCTTTTCTATATTTGTAGCCATTCTTTGTCTTGATATTCGTTAATTTTAAAAATCCAAGCTCACATAAATAAAATGTTGAAAATTGTAATAAAATTTTAATTGCTCTTTCAGAAATTATTTTAAATTCGGTTTGAATGGAAATCAAAAATTCTTCTATTGTTATTTTGGAGAATTTTATTTTGAGAGTTTTATCTGTTGTTAGCATTATGAATTCTTCCTCTTCTATATATGTAAATAATGTTTATATATATATATTCTATACTTCATACAGTTATGCAAGTTTTATACTTATGTGTTTTGTAAGTCCATAAAAGTCAAAATGTTAAGACAATGAAACTAAAAATTTAGTTTAATTTATAGATTTTTTTTCACTGATTTTAAAATTTTGATGGAACACTTAAACTAAGTCTGCGGAACACCGGTTAAGAACCACTGCTCTAGTGTATCTATGTATCAATATATTTTTCATCATAACATATCAATCAAACATGTTTTTGAACTACTTAATTATAGATATATAATAAAAATGAAGTTTTGCAAGCCAAATTGAATGTTCTTAATAATACCAACATGATAGACTATGTTATTGAGAATTACAAAAAGTTGAATCCCAACAAAGAAGTACCTATGGTAATAATATAATTTTCATATAAAACCAAGAAGGTTTTATAATATAGTATGATAATTTTCAGGAAATGAAAACTAAGAGAGAAGAAATTTTATCACAAATCCATCAACTTCGTGGTGAATTGAATATTAATATGGATTTTCTTGGAGATGATAAAGTTATGAAAATAATGGAATCAATGAAGAGTTCTAAAACTTTAATAAATTATATGACTGAAGTATTTGATGTAAGTACTATTAGTATAATGTAATTACAGTCAAATTTCCTCTAAAAGATGGTTACTTCTAAGTAATGGTAATTTTTTTTGGTTCAGTCAAGTGTTATGCCTTTAAAAGACACCTTTAAAGGACAATTACCTCTTAGTGTTCATTATTTCTGGTCCATTTGGTGACCATTATATGGAAGTTTTATTGTATTTTTAAAATTGTTTAACTAGTTGTTATTCTATTTATACTTACATTTTTATTTAATATTAGATATTTTTAATTTTTAAAAAATATTGATTTAATAGATAATTCAAATTAATTTAGTCAATGAATTCTATGTTATAATCTAAATGAGTAACCTAACTAAATAAATCATCATTATTATTTAAAAGTTAATAAATAAAATACAAAAATAATAAAATAAGGAACAAATGTATTTTATCATGTCATTCATAATTGTCAACATTTTTTTTTTGAAAAGATGTATTTTTCAATGCTGATTTTGAAAATGTTTGAATTTTTTATGGAAACATTATTTAAGAAGTTATGACAGAAAAAATTCAAAACTTTCAAAAACAAAATTTGGATAATATGGGTGCTTAATGCTGAAGATGAAGGAGCATTCAGAATTTTTTGGAAACTATTTTAGAAGTTTACAGGATTTGAAGACTATATATGGGGAGAAATAATTGTAGCTTTGGGGGTAGGTTCATTATGCCCGGTGGTATGATTCCTTGAGTGCAACTTTCATGACTAAATTATGTAAACTTTCTGATTATGTTAGGTAAGAGTTAGAGATGGATAAGGCTGGTCTAAACTTTATTTCCAATTGAATGCAGTAAGGCTGATAGTGTCCTAAATGTAAACCAAAACCTCCCCACGCTTAACCTTAATTCTTTAATAATTATTAACAAATAAAATTAAACATTTTTAGTATCAGCATCAAAAACAAAATTGTTTGAAAATTGTGAGTGACTTAGTAAAGTGCATTTTAGTCTAAAATAAATATTAATTGCTAGATTAGGTAGTAGGTTAAATAAAGTTAGACTAGTAAGTCAAATATATTTTTATTTGTTTTAGTTTAAAATAGAAATGATGGATGATATGTACAAATATGCAAAGTGTCAATATGATTGTGGAAATTATGCTGGTACTACAAGTTATTTGTACTTTTATTTATTAGTTATGCCACCTACTGATAAAGTAAGTTTATAAATGTCTGAAATAAAGTTTAATGAAAACATTTAATCTATATTAAATATATTTCAATGTTATTACATAGAATTATTTGAATGCTCTTTGGGGAAAATTGGCATCTGAAATTCTTATTCAAAACTGGGATACTGCTCTCATAGACTTAAATAGACTGCAAGAATTTATTGATAACAATATAAAAAATTCTCCAATATATTTGCTTCACCAACGTACATGGTTGATTCATTGGAGTCTGTTCATATTTTTCAATCACGAGAATGGACATAATCTTATTGTTAATTTGTTTCTGTACAAGCCAAAGTAATACCCAACTACAAATTACCTAACTTTTTTTTTTTAAAAAAAGTCCTGATTTGATTTGTGACATAATATTGTTAATTTATTAATATATTTGTATTATTAGATATTTAAATGCCATTCAAACTATATGTCCGCACATTCTTCGTTATTTGGCCGCTGCTATAATCATTAATCGTTCAAAACCAGCAATGAAAGATCTTATAAAAGTTATTCAACAAGTGAGTACATAACTAATACTAAAAATTGTATTATTTGGTTTTTAATTATTGATAAAAATGATGATTTATATTTTATAATGATTACTGATTAAAATGAGAATTATTAATTTAAAAGTTTTTTTGTAATATACCCATTGTGTTTAGGAATCATATGCTTACCATGACCCAATAACAGAATTTCTTGAAAACTTATTTATTCAGTTTGATTTTGAAGGAGCCAGAGACAAATTATATGAATGTCAAAACATTATTCTAAATGACTTTTTTTTGACTACATACATAGGCGATTTTGTAGAAAATGCTCGCTTGATGATTTTTGAAACTTTTTGTCGTATTCATCAGTGTATAAGTATAAGGTGTGAATATTAATAGAATAATAAACAGTGCAGTTGTGATAATCTTACCTATTGTCTGTTAGATAAGGTACTTTATGGATGTTTAAAAATTAAAAAAATCATTTTTTTGGTTTTTTTAATAACTATATTGTTGTATTATGTACTGCTCTTTTTATTACAACACCAATTATTACTCCCAATATTTTATTATAAAATATTATTTTTATTATAATTTAATATATATTATATTGTTTTGTACCTCATGAGATATAATTTATCTATCTAATGGCTAATGATTAGATTCATTTCTGTTGATATATCATGTTTCAATTTTTATAATTAAATTTGTAATTTTATCACTTAGTTTAAATAAATATTTTTGACAATAAAAAAAAAAAGAAAGGAAAATTAATAATTATTATAATATTCATTGTATGAGAGACTAGGAATAATGTAAGATACAAAAGAAATTTATTGATTAGCTAGGGTTACAAAAATACTGGGATTTGTATAATGTATGGTGTATAATAAGTGAGAATAAAAGGGTGTTAATATTGATATTGATGTTAAAAGATATGAAAGCAGTACTTTGAGAAATGACTGAATGAGTATCAATATCCAAGTGAGATATAATTAGTGTTTTATGGTATGAAGATCTTGTAGAATTAGATTGTGGTTGGCTATAACAGCAATGAAAAAGAAAATAGTGGTAGGTCCAGATCTTACAAGTAATAAATGTAAGAGGAGTTAAACATAGGTGACTCAACAAATTTTTTGAATAGAGTATTAGCAGAAAAAAAAGTGCCAGATGAGTAGAGGAAGAGTATTATAATATCCGTGTTGAAAGGGAATGGAGATATACAAGAGTGTGATAATTATAGAGAAATGATACTGATTTGTCATAGTATGCAAATTCGGGAAAAAATATTATATATAAAAGAGAATTAGAATTGAATCATCAATATCTAAGAACCAGATTGGTTTTATGCTAGGTTTGAACAGGTGTTTTGTGTGAGATAAAATGTAGAAAAGCTCAGAGAGAAGAAAAAACACCTATAAATAGCTTTTATAGATTTAGAGATGGCATATGACAGAGTGCAGAGAGAGAGATTCTGATGCAGGTTTAAAAGAAAAAAAGAGTTTTCAGGAGTTTGATGTTTAGAGGATATCCATGAATATTAAAATAGGAGTTCTGTTGTAATGGATGAAGCTACATAGGAAATACTGTAGTGCTTTGCAGATGAAATAGTTTTTATAAGAGAAAATCTGAAAAAATTAACAAAAGGCTTGAGGAATGGAGAGTAGAACTAGGGATCAAGTAATAGTATTAAGTGTGGTTGGATCAAGTGTAGAGAAGTGTTAAAAATTTATGTGACAAGAGAATTCCAATGAGACTTAAAGGTAGGTTCTATTGAAGAGGGATAAAAAATAGAACAGATAATGAATGTAACAGAGATGATAATGATTAGGTGGATGAGTGGAATGATGAGAGAATATAAGATAAGAAATGAGTACATAAGAAGTTTAGTAGCATAGATGAGTTTGATAGTAGACAAAATGAGAGAAAATAAACTGAAATAGTATGGACATGTCTTGAAAAGAGAGGAATCAGAAGTGGTCTAAATTATAATTAAAATGGACTTAGGATGAAAGAAGAAGACTGAAAATATGGGGTTGGATATGATTAAGAATCATATGAGGATGGTAGGTTTATGCTAGGACAATGTGGAAATTAGATTGATGGTGGATTTAGCTCAACCTAGGGTTAGAATATCCAACCCTAATTTTTTGGAATGGAGTTGCAGGAGAGTAAGTAGAAATTAAAATTAATAGTTCAATATTGTAGAAAAAACAAACAATACAAAAATCCATTCAATAATTTATTATTAATTTTAAACCGCTATTTATTTTATATCATTTTGGTAGACAAATAAATATATAAATTTCTAACTAAAAAATAAAATTGCAACATTCATTTTTTAGTACATTAGATATCAATGTCAAAAGGGTATAGATTATAACAACTGAACTTAGTGTACTGTTCATTTATAATAACTACTACATCAATTTGCTTTATATTTTTTAACTAGCATGTTGGCTAAGAACCTCAATATGAATTTAGAAGATGCTGAATGCTGGATTGTAAACCTTATAAGAAATACTAAATTAGATGCTAAAGTGGATTCAGAGGTGGGTCTTGTTATCATGGAAACTCAATCATCACCATACGAACAAATCATTGATCAAATAGATAAGTTATCCATAAGATCACAAGCTCTAACAAATTTGGTTGAAAGGAATTTGATTGATAGAGTTTAATAAAGGTTAAGTATACTTATCTATGAAATTTAATGTTTTATTCCTCTTATGTAAACATTATTTGTTTACATTTCGGATAGTTTCTAGTGTCATTTGTGTTTTGTACATTACATATATTATTTTTTGAAATCCCTTTTATATTTTATAAGTAATTGAGGAATATTTACACAATACATAATATAATTGTAGACATTGTGTTTCATACCAATCTACTGGTATATTATTTTATAGTATTCTTAAAACATTTTTTGCTTCAAGATATTTATATAATTTAGAATAAGTTTTAACTTAATTATTTAGTACACTTATATGATGGCATAAAAAACAATTGAAATTAAATTTAATAAAAGCTGAATATTAATTATACAATTATAATGCTCATAGATATGAAACCAATTTCATTTTGTAAACTGGTTTATTTTGTAACTTTGATTTCTTGTTAAAGTTGAATCAAAAAAATTCTTTACCAATTATTTTTAATGTCAGGATTTACATGGAATACAGGATGTTCCATAATGATATACCCAATATAATATCTTCAAAGATAATAATTATCATAAAATTCTGTTTTTTTTTTGTATTAGTTGGATAGGACTACAAATATTTATATTGCAATTAATTTTTGATGTTTTGGTGAAAAAAAAAAAAGAGTATATTGTTATTATTTTTGAAAAACTTGAAGATTTACTATATTACTCAATATATCAAAATAATCAAATATTTAAACAAACAACATTTTAAACTTTTAATCATTTTACAAATTAACATCAAAAATGTCCTGAACTACATGAACATTTCTATAGAGAAATGTAAAACTGAGATAGTACAAGATAAGCTTATTAAAAACACTTTACAACCATAACTGAAATCTAGTGAATGTTAATAATCAAAAGAATATCATATAGTTGAAGCATTGCACATAAACAACATTAAATGTATGTACACAATATTGTAGCAGTATTCTCACAGTTCTGACATTTTATCTGGCTCTTTTAATAAGGATTTAGTAGAGCAACTCAAAATTATATAAAACAGAAATAATAGAAATTCAAATCTGGTTAATTATGTGCAGTGTTTATTAGATGTCAACAACAAATTGGATTGTTTACTATGCTATTTATTATATGAAAATAATGAAATATTTAAACAAACAAAATTTTTGACTTAAATATTTTATAAATCTGCATCAAAAATTTCCTGAGTACTTATCATTATTTATTGAAGAAATGCACAGAAAAAAATTGTGTGGTTCAAAGAAATTATTTAAATTAATTGAAAACAGTAATGTTTTTGAAAACTACTACGAACAACATTTAGCCAAGAGGTTGTTGAGCAAGTGTTTAAATAATGATATTGCAAAAATTATGATCTCAAATTTAAAAACCGAATTTGGAGGTCAGTTTACCATCAAATTTTAAGCTATGATCAAAGACATTGCATAATCCTACACCATTATGGATTCATTTAAAACAAACTTGACTACATCACAATCATTAAATTGCACTAACATTAATTTATTGGTTTGTGTGCTAACCACTGCTTTTGGGAAATTAACAGTCTCATCTACAAAATATAATGCGCCCAGTACAGCATATTTGACTTATGAAGAATTTTAAACTTTTTTGTTAAGTAAAAATTATGGACGCCAAATTCCAATACAGCCACAACTTGGTTCAGCAGAAATAATTTTCAATAAAAATTATATGAATACTAAATCAGTGCCTGTACATAAAAATCTCTTGCAAGTATCACCTATCAAATGGCAATATTGATGCTGTCTAACAGTTTTAAAAAAATCACAATAGAAACTATAATGAAAAAGACTGAAGTAAATGAAAATGATCTGACTAGAGAATTACAATCATTAGCAACAGAAAACTGGACTGGTTTTGAATTAAACATTAATCATCAGGGATATTACAGACAAAATAGAAGAGGCAGATTAATATAAAAATTGAATGAAGGAATACAAAGAAACAAAAGTTTTAAAAATTGGTAGTTTTATATAGAAATAATTTATTTTAATTGGAGAGAATATTTTTTAAATGGGTTATTATTTGATATGGAAATGTTAAGAAATATAAATTATTAGGTTATTATTTATTATCTAAAACTTATTGAAATTGAATATTATTTTTAAAATCGGTTTATAAATTTAAAAGATTATTGTAATTGTTTTTCTTTATTTCATTGCATTTATGTAATTCTTCTAAAACTAAATTTTATTTATATATAAATTTTTTATTTATACATTTATTCAAGAATATTTACCATTTTAATAGTTTTGTTTTCATTTTATTATAATTGTTGAAAATACTTTTTTATTTTCATTAATTCATGATTTTTAATACATTTTTAAAGTTTAGAGAAAAGATATGTACAGTCAATTAACCGTAATAATAATAATCAATTAAAATATACGATTATAGCCTGCTACATNATTGTTTGCTATGCTATTTATTATATGAAAATAATGAAATATTTAAACAAACAAAATTATTAACTTAAATATTTTATAAATCTGCATCAAAAATTTCCTGAGTACTTATCATTATTTATTGAAGAAATGCACAGAAAAAAATTGTGTGGTTCAAAGAAATTATTTAAATTAATTGAAAACAGTAATGTTTTTGAAAACTACTACGAACAACATTTAGCCAAGAGGTTGTTGAGCAAGTGTTTAAATAATGATATTGCAAAAATTATGATCTCAAATTTAAAAACCGAATTTGGAGGTCAGTTTACCATCAAATTTTAAGCTATGATCAAAGACATTGCATAATCCTACACCATTATGGATTCATTTAAAACAAACTTGACTACATCACAATCATTAAATTGCACTAACATTAATTTATTGGTTTGTGTGCTAACCACTGCTTTTGGGAAATTAACAGTCTCATCTACAAAATATAATGCGCCCAGTACAGCATATTTGACTTATGAAGAATTTTAAACTTTTTTGTTAAGTAAAAATTATGGACGCCAAATTCCAATACAGCCACAACTTGGTTCAGCAGAAATAATTTTCAATAAAAATTATATGAATACTAAATCAGTGCCTGTACATAAAAATCTCTTGCAAGTATCACCTATCAAATGGCAATATTGATGCTGTTTAACAGTTTTAAAAAAATCACAATAGAAACTATAATGAAAAAGACTGAAGTAAATGAAAATGATCTGACTAGAGAATTACAATCATTAGCAACAGAAAACTGGACTGGTTTTGAATTAAACATTAATCATCAGGGATATTACAGACAAAATAGAAGAGGCAGATTAATATAAAAATTGAATGAAGGAATACAAAGAAACAAAAGTTTTAAAAATTGGTAGTTTTATATAGAAATAATTTATTTTAATTGGAGAGAATATTTTTTAAATGGGTTATTATTTGATATGGAAATGTTAAGAAATATAAATTATTAGGTTATTATTTATTATCTAAAACTTATTGATATTGAATATTATTTTTAAAATCGGTTTATACATTTAAAAGATTATTGAAATTGTTTTTCTTTATTTCATTGCATTTATGTAATTCTTCTAAAACTAAATTTTATTTATATATAAATTTTTTATGTATACATTTATTCAAGAATATTTACCATTTTAATAGTTTTGTTTTCATTTTATTATAATTGTTGAAAATACTTTTTTTTGGGAAATTAACAGTCTCATCTACAAAATATAATGCGCCCAGTACAGCATATTTGACTTATGAAGAATTTTAAACTTTTTTGTTAAGTAAAAATTATGGACGCCAAATTCCAATACAGCCACAACTTGGTTCAGCAGAAATAATTTTCAATAAAAATTATATGAATACTAAATCAGTGCCTGTACATAAAAATCTCTTGCAAGTATCACCTATCAAATGGCAATATTGATGCTGTTTAACAGTTTTAAAAAAATCACAATAGAAACTATAATGAAAAAGACTGAAGTAAATGAAAATGATCTGACTAGAGAATTACAATCATTAGCAACAGAAAACTGGACTGGTTTTGAATTAAACATTAATCATCAGGGATATTACAGACAAAATAGAAGAGGCAAATTAATATAAAAATTGAATGAAGGAATACAAAGAAACAAAAGTTTTAAAAATTGGTAGTTTTATATAGAAATAATTTATTTTAATTGGAGAGAATATTTTTTAAATGGGTTATTATTTGATATGGAAATGTTAAGAAATATAAATTATTAGGTTATTTTTTATTATCTAAAACTTATTGATATTGAATATTATTTTTAAAATCGGTTTATACATTTAAAAGATTATTGTAATTGTTTTTCTTTATTTCATTGCATTTATGTAATTCTTCTAAAACTAAATTTTATTTATATATAAATTTTTTATTTATACATTTATTCTAGAATATTTACCATTTTAATAGTTTTGTTTTCATTTTATTATAATTGTTGAAAATACTTTTTTATTTTTATTAATTCATGATTTTTAATACATTTTTAAAGTTTAGAGAAAAGATATGTACAGTCCATTAACTGTAATAATAAAAATCAATTAAAATATAGGATTATAGCCTGCTACATAATAATAGGTACTTTTCTATGAACTTTAAAAATGTATTTTAAATCATGAATTTAATTAAAATAAAAAATTATTGATACATCAAAATTTTCAGAAAAAAAATCTATAAAATTCAATATTTCCAAAATAATTAAATAAAAATTTTTTTTTAAGTTTTATTCACAGTAAATAAAAAGTTTAATCATTATTCCAATGATTAATACAAATAAAATATTTAAACAAACAACATTTTCAACTTTTAAACATATTACAAATCTGCATCAAAAATTTCCTGAACTACATGAAAAACTACATGAACATTTCTACAGAAAACTATAACTGAGGTAGTAGAAGACAAGCTCATAAAAAACACTTAACAAACACAACTGAAATCTAGTAACCATTGATAATCAAAAGAATATCATATAATAGTTGATAAAGCATTGCACATCAATGACATTAAATGTATGTACACACTATTGTAGAAGTATTCTCACAGTTCAGACACATTTTATCCGGCTCTTTTAATAAGGATTTAGTAGAACAACTCAAAATTATATAAAACAGAAATAATAGAAATTCAAATCTGGTTAATTATGTGCAGTGTTTATTAGATGTCAACAACAAATTGATGATTTTTAATACATTTTTAAAGTTTAGAGAAAAGATATGTACAGTCAATTAACCGTAATAATAATAATCAATTAAAATATACGATTATAGCCTGCTACATAATAATAGGTACTTTTCTATGAACTTTAAAAATGTATTAAAAATCATGAATTAATGAAAATAAAAAAGTATTTTCAACAATTATAATAAAATGCCCAGTACAGCATATTTGACTTATGAAGAATTCAAATCTCTCTTAAAGAATATTATTGAAAAGTCCAAACATTTAGGAGATTAATCCTAATTAGGAATTTTCTACAAATGAAATGTTTCCTTTCGAAAAAATTCAGCTAATTATTACAGAGGAAGGAGATTAACTAGAGCTTTGAAAAAGTAAAGACACACTAGAAGAAAATAGAAAACACACAGTTAAGGCAAAACGTTTGTGCAATTTAAGTCCATAACAAGTTAACATACAATACCTTACTATGGAAGTAACCAATCATTTAATGTGCAGATTTGTGCCATAACCTATGCTTATTAACAAATAAAGAAGGTGTTCAACATGTTCACCAAAAGACAGAAATACTCACAATTATGTTGTATGAAAATCTTGTTGTATCTATAATATATAATGAACTTAATACATATACTGTTAATATTATACTAACTAAGGTCAATATTAATACGAAAATTAGAATTTTTTTTTTAAGTACAAGTATTTAACTTAAAAATATATCAATTATGAAATAATATAATATCTAATATATTATGTAACCTACCAATCAGAACACTGCATTGTAACTTATAAATCAAATAAATAAACCTAAAAACCCCAAATATTTTGATTTTTTTTTCCCCTTAAAGTGTAGCTTAACATTGTTCATTTCCATATAAGGGTAATTTTTTTTGGTTAACTCTATATGCCATACAGAAGCACAATTCAGAATAAAGGAAACAAAAAAATGTATTTAAAATGGTAAGCTTAACCTACTTTAGGAGATTACAAGTTTTCCTAGAAAGCCCAAATAGAACTTTGTATTTTGTTATATTTTTTTAGAATAAAACATAAATTCTGCCATCACCCTGATCAAAAAAAAACCCAAGTGTAAAGTGTATACACATATATATGATGGCATTTAAAGATATTAAAATAAAATTATTTTGACACTAAACCACATTATTGTCACATAAATAATTAACAAATAACATTAAACTAAACTAGTTTATAAATTAAAATATATGAAAACAGTAATTTAGGAAATTAAAATTAAAACCGTTAATCAAATGAATATTTAGATTTAAAAACCTTATATCTGTAATAGTTTTTTTTGTTACATAAACAGTTATTACTATCTATTTTCTAAACAGCTAATCCAATTTCAATTTCTTATAAGGAGTGTCACCCACTTTAATATCTCCAGAGCTAATAAAAATAACGAAATAGTTATTTTTTTTTATAAACAATAAATTATTCACTGGAATAATGACTAACAATATTTATTTGCATTGAAAAAAAAAATTGTTTTTATTATTTAACTGAATTTTTTCACAAGGAAAAATTTCATTTGTAGAAAATTCCTAATTAGGATTAATCTCCTAAATGTTTGGACTTTTCAATAATATTCTTTAAGAGAGATTTGAATTCTTCATGTAGGATTATGCAATGTCTTTTATCATAGCTTAAAATTTGATGGTAAACTGACCTCCAAATTCGGTTTTTAAATTTGAGATCATAATTTTTGCAATATCATTATTAAAACACTTGCTCAACAACCTTTTGGCTAAATGTTGTTTGTAGTAGTTTTCAAAAACATAACTGTTTTCAATTAATTTAAATAATACCGTGACTTAGTCAAGAATATGTTTTTTTTTTTTTTGCATTTCTTTGAACCACACAATTTTTTTCTGTGCATTTCTTCAATAAATAATGATAAGTACTCAGGAAATTTTTGATGCAGATTTATAAAATATTTAAGTTAATAATTTTGTTTGTTTAAATATTTCATTATTTTCATATAATAAATAGCATAGCAAACAATCCAATTTGTTGTTGACATCTAATAAACACTGCACATAATTAACCAGATTTGAATTTCTATTATTTCTGTTTTATATAATTTTGAGTTGTTCTACTAAATCCTTATTAAAAGAGCCGGATAAAATGTCTGAACTGTGAGAATACTTCTACAATAGTGTGTACATACATTTAATGTCATTGATGTGCAATGCTTTATCAACTATTATATGATATTCTTTTGATTATCAATGGTTACTAGATTTCAGTTGTGTTTGTTAAGTGTTTTTTATGAGCTTGTCTTCTACTACCTCAGTTATAGTTTTCTGTAGAAATGTTCATGTAGTTTTTCATGTAGTTCAGGAAATTTTTGATGCAGATTTGTAATATGTTTAAAAGTTGAAAATGTTGTTTGTTTAAATATTTTATTTGTATTAATCATTGGAATAATGATTAAACTTTTTATTTACTGTGAATAAAACTTAAAAAAAAATTTTTATTTAATTATTTTGGAAATATTGAATTTTATAGATTTTTTTTCTGAAAATTTTGATGTATCAATAATTTTTTATTTTAATTAAATTCATGATTTAAAATACATTTTTAAAGTTCATAGAAAAGTACCTATTATTATGTAGCAGGCTATAATCGTATATTTTAATTGATTATTATTATTACGGTTAATTGACTGTACATATCTTTTCTCTAAACTTTAAAAATGTATTAAAAATCATGAATTAATGAAAATAAAAAAGTATTTTCAACAATTATAATAAAATGAAAACAAAACTATTAAAATGGTAAATATTCTTGAATAAATGTATAAATAAAAAATTTATATATAAATAAAATTTAGTTTTAGAAGAATTACATAAATGCAATGAAATAAAGAAAAACAATTACAATAATCTTTTAAATGTATAAACCGATTTTAAAAATAATATTCAATATCAATAAGTTTTAGATAATAAAAAATAACCTAATAATTTATATTTCTTAACATTTCCATATCAAATAATAACCCATTTAAAAAATATTCTCTCCAATTAAAATAAATTATTTCTATATAAAACTACCAATTTTTAAAACTTTTGTTTCTTTGTATTCCTTCATTCAATTTTTATATTAATTTGCCTCTTCTATTTTGTCTGTAATATCCCTGATGATTAATGTTTAATTCAAAACCAGTCCAGTTTTCTGTTGCTAATGATTGTAATTCTCTAGTCAGATCATTTTCATTTACTTCAGTCTTTTTCATTATAGTTTCTATTGTGATTTTTTTAAAACTGTTAGACAGCATCAATATTGCCATTTGATAGGTGATACTTGCAAGAGATTTTTATGTACAGGCACTGATTTAGTATTCATATAATTTTTATTGAAAATTATTTCTGCTGAACCAAGTTGTGGCTGTATTGGAATTTGGCGTCCATAATTTTTACTTAACAAAAAAGTTTAAAATTCTTCATAAGTCAAATATGCTGTACTGGGCGCATTATATTTTGTAGATGAGACTGTTAATTTCCCAAAAAAAAGTATTTTCAACAATTATAATAAAATGAAAACAAAACTATTAAAATGGTAAATATTCTTGAATAAATGTATAAATAAAAAATTTATATATAAATAAAATTTAGTTTTAGAAGAATTACATAAATGCAATGAAATAAAGAAAAACAATTACAATAATCTTTTAAATGTATAAACCGATTTTAAAAATAATATTCAATATCAATAAGTTTTAGATAATAAAAAATAACCTAATAATTTATATTTCTTAACATTTCCATATCAAATAATAACCCATTTAAAAAATATTCTCTCCAATTAAAATAAATTATTTCTATATAAAACTACCAATTTTTAAAACTTTTGTTTCTTTGTATTCCTTCATTCAATTTTTATATTAATCTGCCTCTTCTATTTTGTCTGTAATATCCTTGATGATTAATGTTTAATTCAAAACCAGTCCAGTTTTCTGTTGCTAATGATTGTAATTCTCTAGTCAGATCATTTTCATTTACTTTAGTCTTTTTCATTATAGTTTCTATTGTGATTTTTTTAAAAATGTTAGACAGCATCAATATTGCCATTTGATAGGTGATACTTGCAAGAGATTTTTATGTACAGGCACTGATTTAGTATTCATGTAATTTTTATTGAAAATTATTTCTGCTGAACCAAGTTGTGGCTGTATTGGAATTTGGCGTCCATAATTTTTACTTAACAAAAAAGTTTAAAATTCTTCATAAGTCAAATATGCTGTACTGGGCGCATTATATTTTGTAGATGAGACTGTTAATTTCCCAAAAAAAAGTATTTTCAACAATTATAATAAAATGAAAACAAAACTATTAAAATGGTAAATATTCTTGAATAAATGTATAAATAAAAAATTTATATATAAATAAAATTTAGTTTTAGAAGAATTACATAAATGCAATGAAATAAAGAAAAACAATTACAATAATCTTTTAAATTTATAAACCGATTTTAAAAATAATATTCAATATCAATAAGTTTTAGATAATAAATAATAACCTAATAATTTATATTTCTTAACATTTCCATATCAAATAATAACCCATTTAAAAAATATTCTCTCCAATTAAAATAAATTATTTCTATATAAAACTACCAATTTTTAAAACTTTTGTTTCTTTGTATTCCTTCATTCAATTTTTATATTAATCTGCCTCTTCTATTTTGTCTGTAATATCCCTGATGATTAATGTTTAATTCAAAACCAGTCCAGTTTTCTGTTGCTAATGATTGTAATTCTCTAGTCAGATCATTTTCATTTACTTCAGTCTTTTTCATTATAGTTTCTATTGTGATTTTTTTAAAACTGTTAAACAGCATCAATATTGCCATTTGATAGGTGATACTTGCAAGAGATTTTTATGTACAGGCACTGATTTAGTATTCATATAATTTTTATTGAAAATTATTTCTGCTGAACCAAGTTGTGGCTGTATTGGAATTTGGCGTCCATAATTNATTTTTACTTAACAAAAAAGTTTAAAATTCTTCATAAGTCAAATATGCTGTACTGGGCGCATTATATTTTGTAGATGAGACTGTTAATTTCCCAAAAGCAGTGGTTAGCACACAAACCAATAAATTAATGTTAGTGCAATTTAATGATTGTGATGTAGTCAAGTTTGTTTTAAATGAATCCATAATGGTGTAGGATTATGCAATGTCTTTGATCATAGCTTAAAATTTGATGGTAAACTGACCTCCAAATTCGGTTTTTAAATTTGAGATCATAATTTTTGCAATATCATTATTTAAACACTTGCTCAACAACCTCTTGGCTAAATGTTGTTCGTAGTAGTTTTCAAAAACATTACTGTTTTCAATTAATTTAAATAATTTCTTTGAACCACACAATTTTTTTCTGTCCATTTCTTCAATAAATAATGATAAGTACTCAGGAAATTTTTGATGCAGATTTATAAAATATTTAAGTTAATAATTTTGTTTGTTTAAATATTTCATTATTTTCATATAATAAATAGCATAGCAAACAATCCAATTTGTTGTTGACATCTAATAAACACTGCACATAATTAACCAGATTTGAATTTCTATTATTTCTGTTTTATATAATTTTGAGTTGCTCTACTAAACCCTTATTAAAATAGCTGGATAAAATGTCTGAACTGTGGGAATATTTATATAACAGTGTGAACATACAAATTTAATTTAATCTAACCTAATCTATATTTTATCTATTTTGTGTACCCTTAATTATTTCCATAAAATCGTAGATGGAAGATAATACATTTTCTAGGAAGCCCAAATAGGTTTCAGTGTTTGGAAGTAGTTAAAACAAAAATTTGCCAATACCCTAATTTATACTTATTTACATTAGATATTTAAATTTAATAAGCTATTATTAATTTGTAAATGAAATTTTAGGAAAGTATCTATTTTAAATATTCATACTTATACATTTATACCTAACATATGTTCTAATTTATTTTAAGTGCAATGGATTTTAAAAAATATTGAGGAATGTTTATATGATAGTTTTTGGTTGTATTGTATTTGTTTAATATTACCTTACTAGCTGTCATTCTAGTTATAATTTTGTATACATATTTCTTTTTTGTACCCTTCTAAGTAAAATAAATTATGTTACTGTGTGTGACAGTTATTTTAATATGTGTACAATTATTGATGTTTTACTGCTTACTGGTGTGTTCAGATTATGTTGAAGCATTGATCTCAATAATGAAGAAATAAAATCCTTAGAAAATGAAAACCAAATTAATCAACAATATTAAAATTTGTCACTGACAAAAGCTTTTGTGATTCCAGCTAGTGATCACAGTGTAATCAAATGATGCAAATTGTATAATGTAGACATTTGTGGAGTCATTATGCATATTTTTAATAACTCATAAGAACACACTATTCTATTTTATGCTGTCAAACAATTATATATTTTAACTATAATTGTTAAGCATAGGATAAAGTAACTTATAATTCATAATTTTAAAAATGATGAATATTTTTGAACTGGATATTTTTTTATTGGTATATAATATTAGCCCTAAAAATTTATAATAATGAAATCTGTGTGCCATAATTTGAAAAAAACCATACATTTAGTCTTTTCAGTTTGCTCCAATTATTATGCAAAAGTCAGGCAACTGCACATAAAGATTGCCCACTGTTTTAGGTGAGGAGTTGGAAAGTAATACAAAGAAAATTAAATGTATATCTGAAAGCAACAATAAACAATTGCTAATGAAAAAATGATTCTGAGCTAAGTTCAGTTGGTAGTGTTGCTTTTTAAACAATACATGTCATATTATGGTAAACTTATTACATAGGCATTATATATTTTCTTTAATAATATTTGTTTAATATTATACCTATCTTCCTCCTTTATCCTTTAAGTTTTTCCGGTTTTCCAATTTTTTTTTAATTTGTTGAGAAATATCATGAGAAAATCAATAAATGATCTCTCTGAAATACCTTCTTAGTCAGATTTCTTTTCAGAAAAATTGTTATCATTATAAATTGGAGCAAAATTGCTGGTAGAAAACTTGTCCACAAAAAAAAAATTCTTAATATTTTAGTAATATATTTCGTATATTTTCCCATTTTTTCTCTGTTTTTTTCTTTTTTTAATATTTATGCCATATTAAAGTAAAATAGTTAAATAGGCTCTATATATTTTCTTTAATAACATTTGTTTAATGTTTTACTGATTTCAACAGTTTCCCTACATTTTTTCTGGTTTTTCACATTTGATGAGAAAGCTCTTGAGAAAATCAAAAAATTACATCTTTAAAGTGTCTCCCTAGTGAAATTTCCTTTTAAACAAATTTCTATCATTATAAGTTGTGGCAAAATTGCTGGTAGAAAAGTTGTCCACAGAAAAAAAATTCTTTATAAAACCATATGTTTCTTTGCTTCACTCAGAATCTAAAATACAAATTATTTATTTATTAACATTTCTACACTTGTTTGTTATACTTAAATTTCAAACTAATGAAATCTGGTCAAATAAAAATAACAGTACCAAAATAATTGTTTTTTTCGCAAAAGTTTGGTAAGTTTATTAAGTCTTGTAAGACTACTCCCATTTCTGTTGTGAGTGCTGTTGAATCTATAATAATTTTCTCAAAAGATTCTTTTAATCTTAGTTCCTTTAAATATTTCAATAAAGTTTCTAAAATGCCCAAAGCTTAAGATATGTCAACATTTGGTTTTTCATTTGGACTTTTCGTCAATTTAGGACAAACTTTAAGCATAGTTTTTGTATCATAAGAAAAAATCTTTTGAAAAACTTAATTGCATGTACTGTTTATTTGGAAATCTAAATGACAAATCATCATAATATAAATAAATATTGAGGATAAGGTACATAATTATGTAATTATTATTATTAATTAGTATTATGTATCTACTATTATTATTAATTATTGTATTGTAGTAATACAAACAATTAAAAAGGGAAAATAAAAAGTTGGGGGGGGGGGGGGGGGGTGAGATAGTAGTAGACTATGACACTGAGTATAATAATGCAAGACAAAAATATTTAAAATAATAGGATATTAGGTAGAAGTACCTACAAAGAAATATAGAGGAGTAGGTATAAAAATGTACCTATATAATATAAAGTAATAGATCTAGATTTTGGTACTACAAAGAATGATTTATCTTTAAACATCATAAAAGTTCAACCTACTGATTATATTACTACTTTCCTTCCTATGTTTGAAAGGGGTTCGGAGTCGTGAATCGCTAGGGTGTATACTTATAGATATCCTCACGTGATTCTGTAGTCGTTGGTTGGCAGTCACAATTTAATTAATTATCACTTTGTACCTGTGTGTACTCAGATAAAAATGCTAATGAGCTAAAGAGCGTAGTTATTGCTGTGTGCAGGATTCTTGACAGAGTGTTCGTCTTGGAATTTCTCGAGTGATCAAAACGCTTCATTTTCATTTGAAAAAACCGTAACATTTTATATGTTTAAATAAGCCGAAAAAAAAAGGACAACCATAAAAAAAATAGTGTTATATGTTGCTTTGAAATTTGTATTGAAATAATTATAATGGTATATAGTGCTAAAGAATGATGATGGTATCATCAAAGGGCCGATTGATGTTGTGTATCTATTGCTTAATTTTATTTAACTTATATTTAAATGTTCTAAATACAGGTAATGGATCGGATATGGATTGTTCACAAATGATATCGCGTCGATGTCGGTATAAAATAATTAGTAATCGAATTGTGAAAACAAGATAATATACAATAGTATGACTGAGGCGGCAGTGTCCTCAAAGGGCCGTAGCAGATGGCATGCAGTTCTGTTATATTTGACACATATTTAAATTGTTTTGCTTGTAGATAATCTTGCATCCCTCTCGAATAGCGAACGATCCGTTTGATTTATTAAATTATTTACCTTTTGTGAAATACCAAGTAGTCGGCCATATTTGAATCTTTTTGTTACATTTTTGTAATGATATAAATAATAAATAATTATACAGTTATAATATTATGTAATGTGAGCATAACATTACATCCACCCCAGTCTTGGTCAAAATGAAGGGGGACAAATAAATCACGAAGAATTAATAAATTAAGACAATTATACAATAAAAAAAATTAAATTTGAAAGTTTTTAAAGAAGGTAAACTGTATCCGAAAGTTGGACTTTGGAAAAAGTTTAACTTTCTTTAAGTTCAACCTTCGGTTTTTGTTATTCCTGGAGTAGTAGTGAATGTTGCTTTACACTAAATTTTGATTTGGTTATTAATTTTAGAATTTGTATTAAGAGTACTATAGATATGCCGGTTCTGGCTCACTTCTGATAGTTTTTACTTTAAAACTAATTTCTGATCTATATTTAAATTGTTTTATTTCCTGTTCTTTGTTCATATGCATAAAATAAAAATAATATTTGAAATAAAAAAATAAAAAAAATAAATAATATTTAAAAAAAAATTACATTTCATAATATTTAAATTAATATTATTTTTTATTATTTGTTTTTNTGATTTGGTTATTATATAAAATTAAATTTGATTCTGAACTTTTAAATTTTAAACGATTCATGGCCCTCATTTCTTGTTTTACATTTGTGTATTCTTTCTTGATTCTCATAATGAGATTATACATTTTTTTTTTTTTAATTAGATCTTTTACATTGATCCTAACATGTCTATTATATAATAAATCAAAAAAAAAAAATAATAATAACAGCGGAAATGAGCGTACTTGGTTGTAATACATAATAGTTATTAGTTAAATAAGTTTTACGTTAGTAAACATTATTTTTACAAATTTAATAAAATTGAAATATACATTATTTTTTTACATAAAGTGATTACGATTTTTTGTAATTGTTGTCCCTTATTGTTGATATGATTGGCGTGAGAGACCTTCCTCATGTGCCACGTTGTACCAATATGTCCTAATTGGTTTGTTACTTGGGGGTGATTTGAATTATGTCATTGTACGTTTTGGTGGTGGCGTGGAATTGAATTTCATCTATGGTCCTTGTTTGATCGGTTTTGAACGGAATATGTGTTTTGTACCTTGCTTATCTTTGATTAGTATTGTTTTTAAATATTTATTATTTAACTTATTATTAATGATTAACTTATTATTAATGATTAACTAATTATTAATATACTTAATATTACTTAATATTACCAATCACCATTTTTCTTAGTATTTACTAATATATGAATTTTTTTTATTATTTATATTTGTTTTTCAGCTCTTTTGCCTCTCATTGTTTATTATCTATTCTAATTATCTATTGGTATTATATATATTTGTTTATTATATTTTTTTATTTATATATTCTGTATTTTATATTTACTCGTACCTATTGCGTTTTTTTTTTTTCTATATTGATATTGTTTTGGTGCGTTAAATTTGGGTTCTTTATAATCTTGTTTCATTTTTATGTGGCAGGGAGTTACATCAGCTGATTTTATATTTGTAGTGTCGGTGGTAAGGATATGGCTTAATTCATTGAGAAGTTCGATTACCTTATGTTTAATTGTGCTTAAATTAGGGGATATAGAGAACGGCGTGCCTTCTAAATTAGTTAATGTTTTTTTTATCGTGTTTATCATAATTATTATTATCTTGGTTATTAATTGTGTTATTTATGTTATTTATTAAAAGTGAATATGTATTGTTAGTGTCCCTATAATCTCTACTTTTATCTGTGTCAGTGTACTGCGGTGGGTTAATATCCTTATAAATTTGTATTTTGTTAGGTACAATATTCTTTCTGTATAATTTGCTATGTGGTGAAACACATTCCTGGGCAGTGTTATTTATTTTATCACGATCGAAATTCTTAAAATTGTACTTTTGATTTTCATTATCTATACCGTAATTATTCGTATCGGGATTATTATTAATGTGATTTTTAATCGTTTCTTTTATTTTATTATCATAATTATTGTATTTTTGCATATATTAATAGCAGTATCCTCCTGTATATTGATTTGTTTTATAAATTTACTTGGTCAATAACTTGTTCCAAATTTAATTTTTTTTTAATTGTATCTATAGACGGTAAATTATTTATATAAATTATTTTATCTGGAATTTTGTTTGAATTGTAACGTGAAATCGTTCCGGGAATCCAGTGAGTATTTGAGTTTACATTATATAGTACGATCGGGGGTTTATTACCTATTCCGTGGACAATGCCAGTATTATTCGAATCATTGAATACATATGTGTCATGCCCATAATGGGCGGCGATAGATGCTAGCTGTTCGTCCGACCACCAATAATCTGGCAATTCGTTTAGACCTATTAATTCTAATATTTCGGATATTGAAGTTATTCTTTCCATTTTATTATCATTTATGGCATTACAAACCGCATATAAGCCGCAGTTGCCATCTGCGAGTACGTTTTCACCTGGTTTATATTTCAAAAATATTTTACGCGCGTTAATAATATCTAAACTATCTGTGTTTTTATCAAGTGATAAATTATTATCGGGAATGTACCTATCTATTGCAGTTGCATTGGGTTCTTGTGTTTCCGAATTTCGTATAATCTGATTGTTTTTGTAGTAATAAAGATATATTTTAATATTAGAATTTTGAAATTCTGACTGTGTTAATTGTTTGATGGTCATCGGATCATGACCATTTAGTCTTGAGGCTATCGTTGGCATTGCAATTTCCGTTTGGTTATATTTAATTGCCTCCCTTTTTAAGTTTTTTATCGCAGTTATAATATCATTATAAGTGGGTTTAGTATAACATTTTGCTCTTGTAACTAAGTGAAAAATGGTTCTGGACCCACAACGTGTTACTAAGGTGTTTCCCGTTTTTGGTTTATAATTAGCTAATTCCGATCTAGTGTTACCATAGATCTCACATAGATCTTTCGCAACACACTTGGTCATTCTAAGATCTGCAGATACACAATGGGCAATAGCAAATTCGGGAGGCGAGTTAAATATGTTGTCATTTATTTCTGTTATTTTGTTTTTAATTTTTATTTCATTTATGTTTTTTGTCATATTGAAATTATTTAGTTTAATTGTAATTTTATCGTCAAGTGTTATGATCTTTTACCATATTTACCATATTTGAATCTTTTAGCTACATTTTTGTTATGATATAAATAATAAATAATTATACAGTTATAATATTTTGTTGTGTGAGCATAACATTACAGTATTATTTAATAATTGATAACTAATACCATGTCTGAAAAAAAAAAACAAAATTTTATTTAGTAAGAAGCACTTACTCTTAATTTTTTGTTTGAAAATAATTAATTTCTTATAGTTCTTAGTAAGTGAAGGACACCAGAAAATACAAATACTATTCGATTAGGGTAATAAGGACTCTCAAAAAAGTTTTTAAATTTATCTGCTTTTCCACATACACCTAAAGCATTCCACAATGAAGGATTTGTAGTTACTTATTATTCCCATAACTTGAATTTCAACATTTTCAAGAAGTAGAATAGTTTTAAGAATAATTGTTGTCAATTCCATTACTAAAAAAATATTTGTATCAACAAAGTTGCAAACTAAAATATTAGCTAATTTTTAATAAGTTCATAGGTCCTTTTGATGTGAACATAGCAATTGGTAGATGTACACGGTCAGCCAAACCTTGAATCATTAGAACTAGAGCATGATTCACTTTTTCTAATGTCTTTGGCTTGATCTCATCTCCATAATCTTTAAACCATTGTACATTAAATGTCTAGTATTTAAATTTAAACTTTCTCTAACAAATATTTTATCAAATACAAGTATACATTTTTTTTGATTCTCTAACTTTTCACTGAATTTTTTTAAGTAACTTTAAAGAAATCTTTATCAAAGCTGCATCCAATTTTTACTGCAAATAAATATGTATGAATTGTCACGATGGAAGGCAAAAGAAGTATATTCTGTTCTTTTAAATATATGTATCCAATAGGAGATCTATAACAACATAATTAAGAAAACTTAATCAATACCTATATTAACTTTTATCTTAATAATTATTAAAACAATTTTTACTGTGTTTAGAACAGTAAACATAGTAACATCCAATTCTCACTATATCTTCTATGTTTTGTGTTTTTTACTTTAGCTGCACTATCAATTTTCTTGGTCAATTCATTTTGACCTACCAATATATTTTGATTTTTTAAATGATTTTCAAGTTTTTTTTTATTGACATTTTTTATTTCTGTTTGTATTCTTTTTAGGTGGGCTTATAATTGAGTTATTTTTTTGCTTTTTCTGTTATGGTTTTTCCTTACAATACTTATAGTTTTATTAAATCTTTGTACATTTTGTTTCCTTGGTGAGAGTTATATCCTAGTTTTTTATTATTATTAAACAATTTTTATGTCTCCAATGACCATGTATCCTTACAAAATTTTGACCAAATGAATCTTTAATGTTAGGATATTTATATTAAGAAGCAGCCCTTTTAACAAAATTTAATATTTTAAATTTTATTAATAAGTGATATGAAATCTTTGGTATTTTGAATTTTATTTGATGCAATTCTAATATCCAATAAATTGATCATTTTCCCATTAAAATGCATGATCAAATCAGAATCTAGAAAACTGAAATATAATTAATTAAATATATTATGTATAAAATATTTAATGCAGAAACAATATGAAAGAAAACCCTATATTTTATTATTATATTATTATTTTATGAATATAAACTTAATTTGTTTTTTTTTTTTTTTAATTTTTGTTCAATAATTTTAAGAAAAGGAAACAAGTGCACTTTAGTAAAATACAAAATAAATATACATGCCTTTGGTTAAAACAAAATTTTTTCAATATATCTTGGTACATTTAACTTGAATTTACCAAATGTATTAAATGATATTGCTATTATATAGTCCTTTGTTTTATATTTTAAATTTATAAAACAGTTGTTCATAAGAGGAACAGTCTTTATATTTTGTAATACCTGAATGAACAACGTATCTATCTGGTAAAACAAAAATATTTTTGTTAGTGTTTAGAACAGACTACAAAATATTATAATTTAAAACCTATCTTTCTATTTTTGGTTTTAAATGATGTTCCATCATTGTTGATTCAGCACATGGTGTAAAAGAAAAACCATTTACAGAGGCATCTGTTATGTAACTGCTAGTAGATGAATTTTCCTGAAGAATCCCATCAAAGTTCTTATTTATAAAATAAAAAAAAAAGTAGAAAATATAAACAATATTTAAGTCAGGAGTTAAGTAAAATAAATTTGGTAAATTATATTACAGAATATCATTATATATGTACTACCTTCGCATGATGTTATTGGAAGTTGAAAACAATGATAGGTCAATACAAGTTAATGGTGGTATTGCATCTTTCTTTAACTGTTTCCTTTTATAACATACCTGGAAACATTCAATTTTAACATTCATTTTTTTTCAGATGTACATAGGTATATTTGCTTTATATTATTTTAAATGTTTGCTGTATCTTTTTAAGTACTTAGGGTATAATTATTTAAAACATAATTCCAACAGCTTATTATGTCATTTTCATTAAATTGATAAGCACAGATACAGTGGCTTTTTTTAAAATTTTATGCTTAAAGCTTCCTCCCATTTACATTTTTCCAACTCATTTTCTGGTACTCCAAAAGTGGTATTTTCTACAGAATGCAATGAACGAATGCAACAAGTCATATTTTGGGCACTTCTACTAAAGAGTAAATTAAAGAGTGATTTGTTCAAAGCTAAAAACCCAATCCCAAAATTAATCAACGCTCCCGTAAACTGGGAAACCTGGGAAACCTTTAGAAAAAACTTGGATGAAAATCTTAATAATCAAAAGCGATACAGAGACTTAGACGATATCAATAAGAGCATCGAGCATATTAAAGGCACAATAAAAGTTGCAGTCACCCAAGCGCAGACCAGAAAACACGCAACTACACCTCAGCTAACCAATTCCCTCACAATTGCCGTAAAAAATCTAATAAAAGGAAAACACAAAACTAGAAGAATATGGCAGAGAACTAGAAACAGCAGTCAAAAGAAGATTAAACCAGCTGAATAGGAGAGTAAAGTGGGAACTTGATAACTTAAGGTATAATTCGTATCGCGCCTACCTTGAAAAGGTAAACCCAAATGACTCTAGTCTTTGGCTAGCGACAAAAAGAATCCTAAAGCAACCTAATCTCATCCCTCCATTAAAAAATGAAATTGCCAAATACGACACCAACTATGAAAAGTCTGAAGCATTTTCCGAATACTTTGAAACTTGTTTCACTTCCGAAGACAACACTACACCAAAAAGAGGGAGTTCAGATGAATCACCGAATGCAACTAACAATAAGCACAGCAATACTATCATTCCAACATCTCCCAAAGAAATACAATTGATCATATCTAAATTAAAAAGTAAGAAAAGTCCTGGTCATTCGTCCTGATCTTATAACCAACAAAATATTAAAAAACCTGACATCTAAAGCATTATCCTACTTAGCCTCCTTATTCAACTCAGCCATGCGCATCGCTACCTTCCCCTCTACATGGAAACACGCAATTATAGTCCCGATTCACAAACCAGGAAAGCCAGCCAATTCTACTAGCTACAGGCCGATCAGTCTACTACCAACACTATCCAAACTGTACGAAAGGATACTGTTGGAGAGGATAAAACCCTACGTCTACGTTATCCCGAAACACCAATTTGGTTTCAAAACCAAACATTTCACATGTCACCAAATCTAGCGCATATCTGAAATAATTGTACACGGATTCGAAAAAAAGCAATACACCACAGCAGCATTCTTAGACCTAAAACAAGCCTTCGATAAGGTCTTACACAGTGGGCTTGAACAAAAACTNCAGCATTCTTAGACCTAACACAAGCCTTTGATAAGGTCTGGCACAGTGGGCTTGAACAAAAACTAAAAACATTAAATCTCCCTGCATACTTACTTAAAACTATCACATCCTTCATATCCAACAGATCTTTCCAAGTGAGAGTAGAAACAGACTTCTCACAACTGCACCACATCAAAGCTGGGGTCCCCCAAGGATCAGTCTTGGGACCAACCCTATTTAATATTTACTGCAACAACTACAACATTCCAACTCCTCGGTTGAGAGTTAATCGTTACAAACGCCTGCTGTGCTATTAAGAATGAGTTTTGTCAAGAAATCTAAATCGTTAGTAAAATCTACAATCCTCGTTAAACGAAATAACTTCCTGGTTCAAAAAATGGAAGTTGAAGCTAAACCTAACTAAAAGTGAGGTTAAAATTTTCACCCTTAAACGATTAACAATCTCAAAAATATTCGCATAAACAACCAGGTCATTCCATGGAATAAAAAAGACGACGCAGTCAAATACCTGGGTATCCACCTAGATGAAAAACTTACCTGGAACATACATATTAACAAAAAACTCTCACAAGGCTATGCAAGGATGAAAATTCTTTACCCCCCCCCTACTCAACTACAAATCAACGCTACAAATGAAGTCATCACTCCTCCTATATACCTGAATAATCAGACCACTTTTAACGTATGCCTGTCCCGTCTGGGCGGCAGCCTCACCAACTAAAATTAAAAAACTCCAAAACAAATTACTTAGGATTTGCCTAAAAGCACCTTGGTTTATGAGAAATCGCCAGATACACAATGACACTGGAATATCCCTAATAAATGTCTGGATTAAAACTCATTATAAAAACTTCCACGCCAAGCTGAAAGACTCCGAAGGAGCCCGTCTTTACAAACTAGGAAGAAAAACCCAAAATAGGTGACTTCGACCTCGAATACNACACTGAAGAGATCTCGTCGGAAGATGAAGAATAATTAACAAAAAATACTAAACTTTAATTAGGAATCATTATAACATTATTATCTTAAGATAAATGTAAATATTAAACCATATTTTTAATCTATTGTACTAGTAATAGCACCTAATGTGCTGAAACATTTTAAAATAATAAAAAAAAAAAAAGAGTGATTTGTAATTTGTTCTATAGATATATAACACAAAATAAAAAATAGATTCCTTATTATGGCTAAAGATATAAATATAAAATGTAATCTACCGTCATGCTATCTATGATCGCGAGCAAACCCACATAAACTAAATCTTGTAAATTTGTGGATTAGTAGAGTGCGCCACCGCGCAGTCAAATTGACTAAGCTCTTTCGTGGTGGTTCTTTGCCTATACATAATCATACGTCACACGCAACCATACTATCTCCTACACTTCTATAGAATGCAAGACATACCGAACAAAATAACGAATTTTGTATACTGTTTAAACTTAACCAGTTTCTTAAAATGCCATCTTTCGTTTTGAATGTGAAAAAATGAAAAAATATTTAGTTCATTTATGTTTGATTTTTCAAACCAATAATTATTTTCATAATTGATTTCTTGGCTGTTATGAATTTCGAATTGAAAATTTCTTTCGATACTTTTACTCGAAGTTGATGACATGGATTTATTTTCAGTTTTTTTAGGGAATCAGTATTAGAACTAGATGCAACAGTAGATTTATCAGGTTTAGATTTTGAGTGAAACGAAGAAGCTAATGGTTTTACAAAGATGTTTATTTATTTATATTTTCTGTACACAATTTTTCTACCAGCAATTTTGTTTCAATTTATAGTGCTAGTAATGTTTCTAAAAGGAAATCCGCTTGCAGAGGTTTTTTTTTTATTTTTTGATTTTCTCGAGAGCTTTCTCATCAAATCCGAAAAACCAAAAAATAAACTGAGGAAAAGCAGAAAAATGTACGAAATATTTGTATAGTATTATGATTTTTTTTTCTGTGGACAATTTTTCTACCAGCAACTTTTAATGATATCATTGTTTCTGAAAGGAAATTTTACTTGGAAGGAACTTTAAAGAGGTCGTTTTTCCATTTTTCCCCATGTTTTCTCAGCAAATGTGAAAAACTGGGAAAATCGGGAAAATCGGTATAACATTAAACAAATATTATTAAAGAAAATATATATAAAGCCTATTCAACTATTTTATTATAATATGACATATATATTGTTGACAAATCATCATTATCAACTGAACTCCGCTCAGAATGTTTTTTTTCATAAGCAATAGTTTATCGTTGTTTACAGGTACACATGTTTTTTTGTTTAAAAATTTATTGATCAAGAAAGTCAAGGAAGTATTTGACATTTATATCACACCTATGTCAGTAGTCCCAAAAATAAAGTGAATAATTTTACATTAATTATAATTATACAAAAAAAAAAAAAAATCAAACATTAAGTTATGGATTTTTATTTTGTGTCTAAAAATGTTTCTATGTAGGTACCTGCCTCATTCCTATAAGAATGTTTCGAATGACCTAAAGAGTGGTGTGTGTTTTGTATAAATTCTTTAATATGAACATAAAATATATAAAAAAAATCTAACAAACTTCGCACCAATTTTAATTGTAGGGCACAGCAGAAGAAGGGTACATTTTATTAATTTTTTGGTATACTATTATCGGTGATATTGACTATTAACGTTGTGTATATAATCAATGGTATTATAATATTATCAAATATTGAGTTCCGCTCGCTGAAAAAATTTCAGCTGGATGTTTAAGGTAATATATATTTGATGTATTGGTTACAAAAATAATGTACAATATACCTATAGTTGTCCATACAGCTTTACTTTACTTAAGAATTTTAAAAAGGAATTAATACACCTGTGCCCTTCATTTATATACCTAATAAGTACCTAACGCAGATAAACTTTTTTGTAATCGACGCGTAATATTCACTATTCTCGGACACTTAAATAAATAAAAAAAAAATATTTACATAATAAGTAGGTACATTCTTCTTCTTTATCGAATAATTAAAAATATTTAATTCTAAATTAGCACCAATTCATTTGGGAATTCATGAACTATGTTATTATTATATTTAACCAGATAATACAGGTCTTCATATGAAGGTATACCCATTGCGATATTTTGGAAAATATTAACATTTTTTAGGAATTTTGTTAAAATTTAAGAAACAAGTAGCTCTAAAATTGTATATTACCAATCTTTTTTGTCACCCTTATTTCTGGGGTTGAATCGAGTATCTAATTTTGATTATTAAATGTCAACATATTAAAATTCAATAAATAGATGGGGTATTAATTTAAAGAATTTTTGTGGTTGAAATTTTTTATTTTTGTCAACTTGTTGATGAGATATTCTACTTTTGATTTTAGGTGGGAGAGGTTAGCGAAACATTGTTCAAATGCCGCGTGTCGTGCCGTCACACAAATGGTGCTATACTATTCTGCAACTACGAATTTTTGTAGAGACTAAAATAATATATTAATTAATACAGATTTTCTAAACATTTTTAGATTCTGAGTGAAGCGAAGAAGCTTATGGTTTTACAAAGATTTTTATTTTTTTTTTCCGTGGACAACTTTACTACCGGAGAACTTATTCCAATTTTTACGTGTAGTACCTTTATTGAAAGAAAATCAGTGTGAGAAGGTGTAATTTTTCGATTTTCTCAAAAATTTTCTCATCAAATGCGAAAAATCAATAAAAATAAAATTAGGAAAAACTGGAAAATGTACGAAATATATTTGTATAATATTACGATTTTTTTTTTTGTGTATAACTTTTCTACCAGAATTTTGCTCCAACTTATAATCATAGGAATTTTACTAGGGTGCTTTAAAGAGATCATTTTTAGATTTTCTCCGGATTTTTCTCAACAAATGCGAAAAACCAACAAAATATAAGAAAACCGGAGGAATTGGTACATTTAATAAACATTATTGAAGAAAATATATAGAGCTTATTTAATTATTTTACTATAATATGGTATATATTATATTGTTGACAAAGCATCACTATTAACTGACCTCCGTTCAGAATCGTTTTTTCGTAAGCAATGGTTTATCGTTGCTTACAGGTATACATTAAATTACCTATAACAGAGGCTGCATCCGACCCCATTATTTTAGGACGTCTTTTTATTTTGTTTGTTATCCACAATCGATCATCTTCCTCGTCAGACGGGTTTCTTTTTCCACCCCTCCTCTCACCGTCTAGCTGACCCGACACTTATTTGTACGTATTTTTTTTTACCTGTGGGTTGATAAATAGATTTAAATAAAATATCTTACATGTGTGAGCCGGAGAGTTTTGATCCCCCGCGCTCGTCCGCTTCACCTATCGTGTATATTGTCTTACACCCCGCCCCAACTCGCATGCCAGCGCTCGTCCATCACTCGCTATACCAGCATACGCACTTCTCTACGAAGAACATTATTTCTTATCGATGTATTCTTACCGAAACTATTTACTGGCGTACGTGCGACCTCCGTTGAAGGTCGATGGCGTCGGTGCCTATAACGACATCCTTCGTTCCTCTCCCCACCACGACAACCCAATGTTGAATGCGTCGGTATTCAGTGCAGGTGTCCGCATACAGACTGGTGTGGGGTGTAGTGGTACTGCACACAACCGCACAGCGCATCCGAACCGACCACAATTATTTGTATTCGTTTATTGCACCGATTGCATCAGGATAGATTGAGCGACCCACTGAATTAGACCCGTCTGTGCAGCTGTAAATCATACATTACTAATTTAAATCGATTTTCTAAGTACGCAACGTAAAAAAATCGTCTCTATTGATTATTTTCCGACAATCACATTGTAGTAATTGTTACTCGTATTATTACAGGCATTATAGAACGATGCGTAGAAGGCCAAATAAGGATTCGGTTCATGGACATCCCGGTCACGGAAATAGAGGTCAGAGACATGGCAGCCAGGGACATAGTGGTCATGGATACGGTGGTCAGGAACATGGTAGCCATGGACATGAAGGTCACGGTCTTGGCGGCCAGGGACATTCTCGTCACGGACACGATGATCATGGTCACGTCGGTCACGGACATTATGGCAAGAAAACTCAGCATGGGAATGAAGCTCCCGAGGGTTTAGCTGAAGAAGCAAAATCACAACGGACACCAGAAGAACTTGCCCGTCGTACCATAGTGAAAAAAGTCATGGACAAGTGCACACAGTGGTGGGAACGAGCTGTGGAGATGTTACCTGAGAGGTGAGTATCTAAATAATAATATTATGATGATTACTGTTAATTTTAATTTCATTACTAAGGACATCATAAAGCTTATATAGGTACATAAGTGCAGAGACACTAGCACACTGGATTACCAAGTAATGAAATTGCAAGTGCTTTAGAACAGTGTTTCTCAACCCGATGGTCGCGATTCTTTTTGGGGTCGCCAATTGATTATTTAGGGTCATCAAAAATATAAAAAATTGGGTCTCCGCGTATAAAATATATACTTAAGGGTCACTAAAAAATTAAATATTAATTTAGGAGGTCCCAACAGTAAAAAGGTTGAAAAATACTGCTTTAGAATAGAGGTTGGTATAGATTACTGATGTATAAGAGATAATTGGCGTAAATTATGCGTGTTACTGATTTAAATCAATGAGTCGATACCTATAATGTAAAGTTAATTTTATAAATAATTATAAAATATGATAGTGCGATAAAATTTCTTTTTTGAGACAGTCACCCTACCTATCGTAAGTGGATACCATTGAATAATAGTGGATACTAAATATGTGATTTCATATACATCTGTAAGTGTAATACAGTGTGTCTCACCATTTTTCTAACGCTATTAATATTTTTAGATTTTAGATAGGTTTGTCTTCGAAGGGGACATCGATTTGGAGAAAAATTCAATTTTTATTTCTATCCCCTAAGTACCAAAAAAATAAATAAAATAATTATTTATTTTAGAACTTTAACTTAAGAAAATTTTCAAAATAGCTATTTGTAAAAAATATGATTTAAAATATTTTAACGTATTACACATATGCAGTGAATAGTTTCTAAGTAGTTTTAAATTCTATTAAAACTTGTGAAACCGACCCTAACAAGTAACGATGTAGTGAATAATAAATATAACACAAGGTAATAAAACTGTCAAATGATAACTATTTTTCCAATTAGCTATTTTTAATTTAATTTTGTGAAGATAAGTAACTACTACGACCAAACCGTTTAGTATTGTTTTTATTGATATTACGAATATCCTGGTTTTCACCATATTATTTAATTATTTAATCGTGGTGAAAACCGGGTCTATGGTATTCCATTCACGTGAAAAACTGAAAAATAGTATTATCACAGATTCTATGAAACTATAATATATAAAATTATATATAATCTATGGTATTACAATAATATGCAAGATAAATACAAGGTGCAACAGTAAAATGTAAATATAAATACATAACTAACAATTTGTATTGAATATTCGTAGTATTAAGATAAATACATATGATTTATTACTTCTAGAAGATCGTTTTGATATTATTGTACTCAGTGAAACTTGGCGCGATATGGATTTCAATTTAATAATAAATAGATATAAATGATTTCATTATTATATTACAACTAATTAGGCTGATGGTATAACGCTTAAATAATTCATGTAAAATAGTTAGCTGTAGAACTATGTTTTTACAAGAATGTATTTCTTTAGAGATAATAGTATTCTTAAAATAAAACGTAGTCAACAATTTATTATTTTATGTCTTTATAATTTCCTTTTTTTACTAATTTTTTTACTACTCAAATTGTTTTTGTTTGTAAAAGATAAAGTACATTAAATATCTAGGATTACATTATGATGAAACTAAAATGGAATATTCATATTATTTGATTACATGCTTATAGGTGATGTGTAACTATAATAATATGATTTATTTTTATGAAGTTATAACCTAATGTTATTTTAGTTAAAATAAACAACTATTATTATTATTATTATTATATTGCTAGAAATTTATATTTTAAAAATCTTATTATTTAATGAGGTATAAATTCCAAGTTAACCTGGAAACTTATAAATAGAGCAATTTTTAATAGTAATCAAAAAACATATGACATAGATGAAATCATATGGTTCTGTTAGTGATAAAGTTAACATTGATAATGAATTCCATAATTTGTTTGCTAAGGTAGGTTTAAATATGTATGATCATATAAACAAACAAAAAATTATCAAACTAAATTTTAACAATTCTAACCTTAGTAAGCATATTCCTAATTCTATTTTTTGGAATCCTTTTCCTTAAGTGAATAAATAAATCTTATTAAAAATATTAAAAGAAACACCTCCTTCATATTAAATTTTACTACTAATAAGGTTCTTAAAAATACCAGTAAATTCTTAGATTTTTCATTATAAATTAATTTTAATAAATGTTTCTCCTCTGGAATTTTTCCTAACTTATTTAAAAATGATAAAGTAAAAAAAAATGCCAAATTTATGTAATAATTATAGACTTATTTCTTTGATGTTACTTGATTGTTTCTTTGATTAAAATTAGATTAGTTAATTTTTTAGATAAATACAATTCTTTTAGTGACAATTAGTTTGGTTTTAGAAAGGGATTATCTACTAATCATGCCTTGTTTAATACAGGTTTCTGAAATTATTTTTAACCCAATAACAACAAAATAATCATACAAAAATATCTTAAATGTTTTTTTAAATAAATAAATAATACACATAATTTATCAATTAAAAAATGTTGTACAAATAAATTCTAAATATTAATTTCAAATAATAGTTATGGATACAAAACTATTGACAAGGTTATACTACAGTAACCAACTGTTCTATTAATATTAATTAAGATGATGGAGGAGAAAACATCATCTGAAATAATATTTTAAATAACTTAAATATTCGAAATATATATATATATATATATATATAACAGTACTATATACGTATAAAATATATGAATAACACTGTATCTTTTTTTTTTCTTACTGAGTGTAGTATTAGTATTAATGCACATTACTTGGTTCTGATTGCAACGCTTTAAAAGTTTTCTTTAAACATAACAATATGTGTAGAGAATTGTATTTTATTTTTATGTGTTATTTGATTTTTTTTAATTGAATTTGTATATAAAATATCGTTATTGAAATTAATAAAGATTACTTATTCATATTGCCTTAAAATTTGAGCCTGCAAAATAATAAATATTTAATATAAAACCAGGACTCGGATTTTATAGCACTGACAATAACTGAAATATGGGCTATAATAATATGATCTAATAAAATTAAGCGTGATAATACATATATCATAAAAACATAAAAAATACCAAAAAAAAATTGTATTTACCTTTTCTGTTTAATTTATTGAAATATATAAATACATCGCTAAGAAGTCATAAATGTATGTATATTGCTTACTCTGGCATTCTGCTATTTTAATCTGTATTTTATAATGTCTAACAAATGCTATACAATCAGAGCCCTGATAATAACAAAATATAAAATATATTACATACATTATCAGTGGCATTAAATCACACAAAATTCACTTAGGTCAATATAAAATTTATTTAGGGCCCACCAACAGTGTATTGTACTGATAAACGTTTTTAATCAAATTTTATTGCTAAAATTAAAATATACTAATTGGTACTTTAATATTAATTAACAATAATATTAAAAAATGCGTTCTAGGATAATGGAGACGGGTGCAGCCACTGTTATAGGTAATTTAATGAATAGATAACCTCAAATAGATTAAATAGATTCGAAAACCTCAAAAAAAAAAAAACATACGACACTTAAAATTATGTATTTTTGAACTACGCTCGGAATCGTCTTTCAAGTAATGGTTTATCGTTGCTTATAGATAAAAATGAAATAACCTTATGTATCTTACAAATATAGTAAATATACTTTTTATATATATTTAAGAAAATATACACTCCTAGCAGTGTTCAGAATCTTAAAACAATAAAACAGTTAAATTTGAAGTTTAAGAAGCATACACATTCTTCATTTAAAATTCCATCAAACAATTTATTAGAATATCATATTTGTACAGATATAACTAGCTGGATGTAAAAAAAAAAATAAAATAATTATTTTATTAGAAATATACAGTGAGCTAATGTAATCTTAATGTAATCACGTTGGCTATTTTGATTTTATTAACCGATTGATTCGATAAAACATTTTTTTTTTTAAGTAACCAAGTACTGAACTGTATTTTAAGTATCATAATTAGGGCCCGGATTATATGCATTTGCATATGAAAATTTTGTAAAGTTAATAAATAGTTTTTTTTCCTTTTATGTTTTGGGGATGAAATAAAAATTTAATTTTTCTCCAAATTGATGTCCCCCTCGAAGTCAAACCGATTGGAAAAAGAAAAAATCTAAAAAAATAGAGTTCAACTGCACTTTTGGCATAAGGGGGTCCCTTATAGATCGCCCCCTCCCCTTAAGTCATGGCTTTTTACAATTTTATTTTTGTTATTTACCCAAGTAAAATAAGAAAAAATTATGTTTATAAGCTGAAGTTATTTGAAGATTGAGATTTGTCCAGTGTGTGGTAGTGTTAAGATTGGTTAGTGATAAGTCCTGATATGGAAAATATCGTTATGTTTATAAAACCACAAATATCTGAACATTAACTAGAGCTCACTATTTCATGTGTACACGCTTTTACGTATTCGCGTGAAATCAACATTTGTTTCTATAAAATCATGAATTTGATTAATCCGTGTAAACTGACACGTATAAATATTTACGTATTCACGTATTTAAGTATAAACAACTATACCAAATTCCTAACATATAATAATAGTAGATAATAATAATCAGTTTATCGGTTTGATATTGGCATTATAAGGTATAGGGCCATAAATTATTTATACTCGCACTGTAGTACCTAGGTATTACATAATGATCGTTTAATATCTGTGAGTAAATAACATTAAAACACGTGAACACGAATATTTAATCCACGTGTATTAATTATACGGGAATACGAATTATTCATTCACGTGTACACAGACTCCGTATTCATATACGCATTAATTCATGATTTAAATCGAGACCTCTAATATTGACATTAAAATTATTACATTCATTTTTTTCGTATTATTGTATACACGTATTATAACATACAAGAAGGGAATAATCTCTATATTAATTAAAATAGGACGGCATGATATTATGTTTATGATTATTCCTAAATTACCAG